TTTGAATGCATTTTTGTGTGAACAGAAATATTGTACTCAATAGGGAATGCTACACAAATTTGTCTCACACCTTTCTTTGTGCGCTAAATGGACTCGAGACAAAAGGGCATGTTTTGGTTAACATTTTGACGGTTAGACTGTCAGCCTATACTCTCCGGGCTGCTACCTGGTTTGACCAACCCCGCGATTTCTAGAGCCGCAACACAGTTAGTAGTCTAGCATAGCACTTCTCAGAAAAGTCCTTTCAATCTTTTTGCAAATGATTGTTAAGCCAGCCGTTACCCCTGCACAAGTACTATCTCGGTGTATCCTGCGGTTATGTGTGAATAACAATATTGGTAGTTTTATCAAATAATAAAAGGTAAAGTCGGGAGATGTGAATCAGCGTCATTGCACACGGTTATAAACCATACGTTTAGGCGTTGTGAGTCCGACTCGTAATTTCAACGTACTGCGATCGAAACCCACTGCTGGCTGCGTGGATTTTTATCATGGTATAGGGCGTCGCAGGTCGACCCAGCCTAAAATGGGTACCAGGAAAGCCGTCCTGGGAAAGTAAAGACAGCCGGCGTAATGCTGACCACATTACCCACACAGTGCCAATTGGTCTGTAAAAATATGGGACGCTCTTCCTATATGCCCGATGCGTCTAGGGTGTGAAAAGGGATCTTTACCTACTTTACTTTTTTTTTTTTTAAATAAACCATAAGTGCTCTGCCACCAGTACGGGCAGTTGATAAGAAACTGTCCGCCTATGTCGCCGTCCACACGAAATCCCTTAGCTACATCGTGTTAACTCTGATACGCATTTTCTAAAGGCTGAGTGAACACCTGTACGTTTCGAACACCGGCTGTGGGCTACAGCGAGTCGCAGCTGGATTTGAAAACGAGTCTCCTATCGACTGCACTAACGCGGCCCCCTTTATCAAATAATGTTGAGAGCATCGTCTCTAGCTCCCATTTTTAAGTCTCTTTGTCGAATTTTTAGATTTTCCAAGTCGACGTTTTAGATGGAAATAAGAGCAAATATTATATCGGACAGCCCGACGCATTATAGCATTAAACACCGCCCAGTACTTAACACCACGAAGCCAAGGCTCTGTTGCATTATGTTGTTATTTTGTTATGACGTTATTTTCTGTTCGATATTTATGAGATATAATGTCATCTTTAGTTGCTAACCTTTTATCTCTAATTACTTGGCAGATATAATTATTCATGAACAGTGTTGGAAAAATACTACAAGTTGAAAATATGCCAGAAATGTCATGGCTAAACGCCAATAAATAGGTTATATTATGCTAGAAGAAACCGTGGCTAAATACCAATTCAGGGTTTAAAATATGTCAGATACATCACGGCTAAACACCAACAAATATTTGAAAATTGACAAGAAAAAACCGTGGCTAAATACCAATAAATAGTTGAAAACATGCCAGAAGAAACCAAGCCTATACGTCAGTAAACAGTTATAAATTTGCCAGAACAAATCACTGCCAAAGACCAACAAACAGCTGAAATATGCCAGAAGACACATTAGAAAAACATCATGAAAAGGTATAAAACAAACAGAAAGTAGATCAGCCAATGTCAGAGTATGACAAACACAAACAAACCATGAACGTTGCGGCTACAGAGCCCTCATCAACACAAATCAAACAAAACTACACAAATACACAGTATTAGAAGCAGCCACGTTAATGTCTTGCCAGTAACATGAGGAGACACGTGGGCCCGCGAATATAAGTAGCCATGGAATGCCAAGGGCCGTAACTCTGAAATTTTATAAGAAACTATTGACAATTCAGTCCCCTGGCAGTAAGAGTTTCCAAAGTGAAAATGAAACGATTTCCAAGAGACTTGCGGACTTTGTCACTGGAGTGGCTAGATTTAATGGCTACCTCCATGTCGTGGACACCTTGGTGATCCTTGAAATTGAAGTGAAACGGTTTCAGGGCACCTTTCTGCACATCTAAAAGATGTTGTCTGAACCTGTCAGCCAGTCGTAGACCCCTTTCACCGATGTATTTCGTGCCACATATCTAGCAGTTGATGGCGTAAATTACATTACGGCTCGTGCAGTAGAATGCTTCACACATGTTTAAGGTAGCATTTAGATATTTCAAACTTTTCCCCTGCACCACAGAAAAAATAATGATCACAACAATGCGAATGTTAGATAGACAGTGTTAAGTTTACCACTTTGAAGATTCAATGACTTTTTCTCAAATAGTAAGGAAGCATTTTAGATCTTTTGAATATTCAGGTTATAGAAAAATCCATATAATTTCATTGATGAAGAGTATTTAAAAAACAAAGAACACAAATAACAGTCCAAAAAATGTATGCAAGTCGGAAACTGTCGGGGACGGTTTTTAATATCGGACAGTGAAGTATCTTTCGCATAAACAACATAGTATTTGCACAAACAAAATCATCATTGGTCGTATGACGCTTTAAAATGCAAGGCAGGGGCTATCCAACAAGGCGGCGAACACAAGAGCTGGCAGACACTACTGGCTGAACTCTAAGGCATTCTTTTCTGCAATTTGAACGATCCCGCTCTTTAAATTATTACACATATTTTTAGTGTCACAAAATTATGTTCCTTTCAGTAACTAGGCGCTTCTTCTCCGTCCCACCTGCCCCCCCCCCCCCCCCCCCCCCCAAGTGTTAGAGAAAAATAATGAAAGCCAGCTTATTATAGATAATTTCCTGTTGGGAGGATCGTCGTCATCGCACTGGGTTTTATCCGAGATCATTCTGTCTCTTTGCATAGACTGGTCGCTTGCTGAGAGTGTCTGTGGAAGCGCGAATTCTGTAGCTCTAGGAATCGATGTAATCGAATTCAACGTGAAATGAACCTACGACTTAGAAGCACAAAGCAGAATGAAACCACGACCTTAACAGTACAAAGCAAAAGGCTTAACCTCTTAGTTAAAGACACCCCTTAGCGACTAGACAACTAAGTTTTGTTTAGCCGTTGAGATTCGCTTAGCCATGGAGATTTGCTTAGCCATAGAGATTCGCTTACCCATGGAGTTTTGTTTAGCCATATAGAATCGCTTAGTCCTTTAGATTTACTTAGCCATGAAGATTCGCTTAGCCATGAAGATTCGCTTAGCCATGAAGATTCGCTTAGCCATGGAGATTCGCTTAGCCATAGAGATTCGCTTAGCCATTGAGATTTGCTTAGTCCTGGAGATTCGCTTAGCCATGGAGATTCACTTAGCCATGGAGATTCACTTAGCCATGGAGATTCACTTAGCCATGGAGATTTGCTTAGCCGTAGAGATTCACTTAGCCATGGAGATTTGCTTAGTCATTGAGCCCCACGAGCTACGAAGAACACTTATCCACAAATACTTCCTTTATCACAGAGCTACGAAGAACACTTATCTATAAATACTTCCTTAACCACACAGCTACGGAGAACCCTTATTCATAAATACTTCCTTAACCACACAGCTACAAAGAACCCTTATTTATAATTCATTCCTTAACCACACAGCAACAGAGAACTATTATAATTAAATACTTCCTTAACCACACAGCTACGGAGAACCCTTATTCATAAATACTTCCTTAACCACACAGCTAAGGAGAATCCTTATTCATAAATACTTCCTTAACCACACAGCTACGGAGAACCCTTATCTATAAATACTTCCTTAACCACACAGCTACGGAGAACCCTTATTCATAAATACTTCCTTAACCACCACAGCTACGGAGAACCCTTATCTATAAATACTTCCTTAACCACACAGCTACGGAGAACCCTTAGTCATAAATACTTTCCTTAACCACACAGCTAAGGAGAATCATTATTCATAAATACTTCCTTAACCACACAGCTACGGAGAACCCTTATCTATAAATACTTCCTTAACCACACAGCTACGGAGAACCCTTATTCATAAATACTTCCTTAACCACACAGCTACGGAGAACCCTTATCTATAAATACTTCCTTAACCACACAGCTACGGAGAACCCTTATTCATAAATACTTCCTTAACCACACAGCTAAGGAGAATCATTATTCATAAATACTTCCTTAACCACACAGCTACGGAGAACCCTTATCTATAAATACTTCCTTAACCACACAGCTACGGAGAACCCTTATTCATAAATACTTCCTTAACCACACAGCTACGGAGAACCCTTATCTATAAATACTTCCTTAACCTCACAGCAACGGAGAACCCTTATTTATAATTTATTCCTTAACCACACAGCAACAGAGAACCCTTATTTATAATTTATTCCTTAACCACACAGCAACAGAGAACCCTTATTTATAATTTATTCCTTAACCACACAGCAACAGAGAACTCTAATAAATTAAATACTTCCTTAACCACACAGCTTCGGGACATCTCTTATACCTTGTATCACAGAGATCACTTTGCCACGAATAACTCCCTTAACCACTTACATAAAGGAGACGGTTATGCATACGTGATTTGTTACAGTAGATCAGAATTGTGAAACAGTTCTTGTGTTCTGTTGTTGATGATTTTTTCGATGTTGGATTAACACAGGAACTTGTGTTTATATTTTGTGGTCATACAATTTTACCAATATTCAGACAAGAAAGTTGAAAATTTCTTTAACGAAGGGTGACGACTTATTTAGTTTCTAGCCATTAACTCTTGCAGAGTGTCAAACAATAAAGCTGCAACTTTACATTTAAAATCAGTGACATCCTGTTTACGAAAATCGGGAATATACATCGTTTCAAATGTATTCAGCTGGAAAGTCAGAAATTTCGAAATTCCGATTCTGATCTTAAGAAGTCTTGGGGTTGGATGAGTCAGCCGTGAATGCTTGGTAACAAGACCGAATTCTGACATAATTTTAAATATCTGAAACTGATGTAAATGTAAACACTACCGGCTGAGTATTTCCAGCCAGATGGTAAGTTTTTTGTTGTTGTATAGTACATATCCCAAATGGTGTGTTCATGGATGGTATCACCAGATGTTACCATCATGAATTTGTTTAAAAAATCCAACCATCATCCCAGCAGCCGAAATCGACCTAGCTCTCCATCATCTTTTGAGATCCCTAGACTCTGCTTGACACGGCAGAAACGTTCTTCTTCAGTCGATTCCTCAGAAGCCACTTTGGAATCTGTAGAGATTGCTTCTCCAGACACTTCGACTAAAGCATCAAGTTCTGATTCAAGCACACCGCGGCAACATGACTTCGAGGGGTCTTCAGATCACCTCAAGGTTCCTGTTTCGTCCACCATAGATGGGACACCTGGACAGCTAGGGTCAGTGACTGTGCATGCCAACAAGAGGTCGAATTCTTTCGATAATGCCACACAGTATGTGGTCAACCTATCGGATGATAATTCCTCGGATAAAGAATGTGGAAGTGGTCATAATCTAGCAGTCCCAAAAAGACAGTTGCGTCGGGCATCGTGGGAAATCCCCAAGATATGTCTTCACTGTTTGCACATAGAGACCTTGGCCAATGAGCAACGGATTAAGGCTTCTAGTGAGCCGACATTTATCTTTGGCGAAGACCGCGCTAGGGAACCGTCACCCACATCCTCGTCAGGTTTCGCCAACAGTTCAAGCGACAATGAAGACTTCAGTGTCAGTGATAGTGAAATCGGTGACGCCCAGCAGTGTCGCGGGAGCTTCTATGAAGATGTTACCAACGAAGGCGACTTGAAACTCATCGTTCCCGTCGTCAGAGTCCTCACACATTTAAGTAACACAGACAACGACAATTTAGAGGAACTCAGTTGTGTAATCGACGATAGTAGAACTGGCAATCGCATGTCCTACACCGACGTTGTGAGCTTGGCGGTACCCGTTGTAAAACCGAGATCCACGTCTTTGGATGCCACCCTCATCATCGGGTCGCCCGTGGATATCTTTTTGGAGGATGAGCCGCAAGATAGTCCGAGAAAGAAGCAGATACGATCTAAATCTGTGGATTCTAATATGCCAAAAAGAGTGGCCACTTCTACAGCCCTCATGTCTCTAGTGCAGCAGGGTTTCAAGTAAGTAAACAGTCTTTGTTCTGGTCAGTTATAAGTAAAGTTCGATGTTATATTTGAGTTTTGCTCTACATGGTGATGAAATAGAATGTTTATGTGTAAGCTACACGAACTCTGAAATTGCCGGTCACAGGCCCGGATCAGAAAGGAAAAGGGGTGGGGGGGGGGGAAGGAGGGGGGGGGGGTATATTGGGGCTCCCCTTCCCATTCTGTAAAATTAAAATTCTAGAGAACAGGAAGCCATTTTGACAGTCTGACTGGCCACTTAGTATGCGATGCACAGAGTTGCACATATGACTGCAGCTGGTGAGAGTCGCTATGCCAGTCATGGGCCTGACGTGCGCACTACTTGGCTCAACATTAATTACGGTGCAGACCTGATAAGGAGAACTCACCGGAGACCCAGTTTTCATAAATTTCATGTATCTATATAATAGTTCAAGCAAGAAAAATTGCCGGGATAATCACATTATTCTTCACAGCAGAAATTCGCCACATCCGACATCGCCTCATGCGGTCTGCACTGTACTAATATTGATTATTGAAATGTTCGTGCCATGGTGGCCAAAGTACATGACTGAATTCCATACATAACATGTGAATTATTAGCACAGAATAAATGGAATGGAAGAATAAACTGCGGACTGCATGTGACGCATAGCGGTGTAACAGGATGCTGATGATGAAACTATACAGGTCACCACCACCACCGCTACCACGACCACCACCACTACTACCACCACCAACACTGCTGCTACCACCACCACCACTACCACTACCACCATTATCGTCATCATCATCATCAAGGTGAATCTGGTCATGTTCACCATCTCACACGTTCACCAGTATTGTGTATAAGCAAATAGAGACACAGTGGCACAGTGGTTAGATACTTGCCTGCCAACCCAAAGGTTTAAATCTGCTACTGAGCATAATTGTTTCAAACTGACATAGGCTACCAGGCTTAAATAAGCCCCAGAAATTGGCAGGAAAAGTAAAGGCGGCTGGCGTGATGTTGACATTATCCATCAAGTGCCGCTAGTTCTGAAACCAGATATGGTTCTTCCATCATATGCCCGACTGATACGACACTGGCGTGAAATATGTAGTTTATTTCTCTCTCTCTTTCTTTCTCTCTCTCTCTCTCTCTCACACACACACACACACACGGTCTTTCTCTCTCTCTCTCTCTCTCACACACACGGTCTCTCTCTCTCTCTCTCTCTCACACACACATTGTCTTTCTCTCTCTCTCTCTCTCTCTCTCTCTCTCTCTCTCTCTCTCTCTCTCACACACACGCGGTCTTTCTCTCTCTCTGTCTCTCTCTCTCTCTCACACACACACACAAACACACGCACGTTCGCACACACGCACGTTCGCACACACGCACGTTCGCACACACGCACGCATGCACACACACACACACACACATATATATATATACATATATATATATATATACATACCGTTTTCACTTAAATACAACCAGACATGTTTTAAACAAATCTAGAAAACACAAAAATAGAAAAATAAAATTGTAATGCCTAAATTCGAGTATATGCACAAAACACACACACACACACACACACACACACATATATATATATATATATATATATATATATATATATATATATATATATATATATATATATATATATATATATATATATGAGCGTCTGAGAAGAAACGGATTAAACACACATGTTGACAACAGTGGTCCTGAAATCTCATGTTATCACCGTGGAAGGCTTTTCTTGAAACAGGCGGGTCTTGCTAGTCACACTCGCCATCGCCATGGGCTGTGAGTCCCATGCCTCCTCATAGCACTAACATCTGGAAAGACTGAAAGGTCCCAATCTATCAAATCAATCTCATATACGTATATATATATATATATATAGTAAAGGGCCCTGTTCCACGCCTTTACATGTATTGGGCATAAAGAAGTAGAATTATAAACCTATAACGTCGTCTAAACCTATATATATATTTATATATTATATTCACATATTGTGTGGTGGTTGTTGTACGTATCTGAGTGTATCGAGCAGCTACCAAACCCATAAATCAGCCAGCATTCTATTAATCGCACAAGATTTATTCTTCTCTCATGATGTCGATAAAGAATGTCGACAATCAATGACTCCCCAACGATTTGATGAATTACCAAACTCACTGACTGCAAACTTCACAAACTTGAATATATTGCAAGTGGTGTTACAGACATGAGCAATAAACTTCTGATAATCCACGTCATCCGGCTTTGACGATCACGTCTCTCCACAGCATTCTGTCGCGTATGTTAGCTGACAATTATCCTAGGCCCGTTGTGAGAATATACAGTTCCCTAGAAAGCATGTTATGGGAGGCGATAGATTGGGGGAAAGGAGAGTTGTTTCCTTTGAATTCTGAATTAGAGACTAGGAACCAACATCCTGAGTACAAAAAAAAAAGACATCTGTAAAACGGATATGTACGCAAACCTAGAGTTCTAGAACAAAAACAACGACCAGAAGTGTAGTAACAACCAGAACTTTCCGCTGGAGTTTACTGCTGGTGAACGTTTAGATGCCAAGAAGATACTCTCCATCTGTTCTCTTTGTATGTTTCTGATCTGCTTCCTCTCTAAAACGGAGACAACGATGTCATTATCAGGACCATCTTGCAGAGTTTATATCTACATGCTTTTGTTGGGCGGGGGAATTGGTGGGGAAAGGGGGGGGGGGGTGTGAAGAAAAAAAAAGGAGGGGGGGGGGGGGGGGGGTTGTGATCATTGATGTGTTTATTTTTTCACTGTCCATGACGCTCCAAGAAGCGCAAGATAATAGTTCTTTCCCGACTGTACATCACGGTATATAATTCCCCGCGACTTTACTACACATAATTGGACGTTACATTACTTTACGGTACTTTATTTTACGTTATTTTACTTTGCTGTATTATATGTTACATCACTTGACTTTACTTATTCCGTGGTATTTTAGTGATTTTACCTCGCGCTGGAAGTGGCCGTGGCGGAGCAGCTAGACGCTAGCCGCGGATCGGAAGGTCGTGGGTTCGCTCCCTGGCGGGGCTGGACTTTTTTCAGAAATGACCTTGGCTCCCAGGTCGACCCAGCCTTGAGTGGTTACCGGGTGGAGACCCGGGAAGTAAATGCTGACATCACTCATTTTGTGCCTACTGGTCTATAAAATATAGGTCTATCCCTATATGCCCTATACGCCTAAAGGCGCGGAAAAGGGTCCTTTACTTACTTTACGTTACGTTACTTCACGCTCCTCTGCTTTACGTTGCGCTACTTCATGTTAGTTTATTTTGTTTTATATCGCCTTACTGCACTTTACGTTACTTCACTTTACTGTACTTCACATTACTTTACTCTGATGTACATTATTTTTACATTACGTTTCTTCACGCTACTCTGCTTTAAGTTGCGCTACTTCATGTTATTTCATTTTGTTTTACATCGCCTTACTGCACTTTACATTACTTCACTTTACGTTACTTCACTTTACTTTACTTCACTTTACTGTACTTCAAATTACTTTACTCTGATGTACATTATTTTTACATTACGTTACCCCAGGCTAGTCAGATTTGTTGTACGGAGTACTTTACCACATACCTAGGGCGGAGTCTGTTAGTTGTGTCAGTTATAGCGACATTCTAAGGATTCATTTCGACCCAAAAACTACAAGCGCCAGACCTAAGGAGCTCCATGGAGCCATGTTCATATTCAGGCCACGCTAACTTCTGACCTCAAATATCTTACTACTTACTGCTCAAGATACTACTACTCCTGCAACTGCTGCTAGCTACAGGAACTCAACACTGCCTGAGTCTTCCTCGTTTGCTCAGCTTCCTATACCAAGCCGTAGATATCTGTCAGTCTTTGAAGCGCTCAACGAGGCTACCAAGGGCGAGGCTTTGGCTCTGATCAAGAGGTCCAGCAGGTGATAATTAAGGAGCTACATGAGACACCAAACAGATTCTTAGGTAGAGGAATCCGTGAACTTTGCAGGGGTGAAGTGTTTTTAATTTTAAGGTGGATAAAGAGGTCATGGTGACGTTGGATAGAACCTTCTGGTGGCGTAGTTGCTAGACGTTTGCCTGCCAGCGTATACCTTTTGGGTTGAAATTCATATATGTCGAATTTTGCATAACTTGGTCTACATCCGACGCAGCCTAAAATGGGTATCAGGGAATATTTTGGGCAGTAAATGCAGCTAGTCTGATTTGGAGCGTCGATAGATCTGTAAAAACTAGCATCCTTTGTCTAATTTGCAGTTGGCATGTAAAGCCTCGTTAAAGACCGACCGATCAGTTTTCCCTCCGAACTGCTATCTAAAGGCTCATTATACCACAATGAGGCTAAAGAATCTCCATCAGGACTGCACACCAACAAGGTAGATCCCACATACCTCGTTCAGCTCTTCAAAAATTACCTTGGATCCCAGGTCGACCCAGCCTTGAGTAGGTACCGGGTGCAGTCCCGGGAAGTAGAGGCGGCCGGCGTGATGCTGACCACATTACCCGTCTTGTGCCGTTGGTCTATAAAATATAGGTCTAGCCGTGTATGCCCTATACGCCTAAAGGCGTGGAAAAGGGTCCTTTACTTTACTTTCCTTTTTTTTTAAAAACTCGTTCAGCCCTCAGACAATTTATAATTAGGGCTCTGGTAGCGACGACATCAAGCAAGTGTAACCTGCAGTCCAATGCTGGTAAGAATGGGAGCGTCCTGGGCTTTTCCTCCTCTTCAAGGGATGTGGTAATGTTAGTAGCGCATCCTTTACAGGACGTTGCAGAACCAACCCCAGGATTTGTTGTGGTTTTTCTTAGCACATTTTAAGTTCAGTAGTTTGCCACTACTTTCTCTGTACCACTGTCGAATCCAGCGCAAAGCAAATCGTCGGCAGCAGAGATCGAACCCGGCATTACGAAGCGCTTTCGCAACGCATAAGCCACAGACTTCGACAAGGGACGTGTTCCGAACGCAGTA